TCCATTTTTTTTCGAAAAGTCAAAAACTTTTTGAAACAAATGTAAAAATATAAATTTTGGATTTTATTAAATTCAATTTTCCAAATTTTCAAAATTTCGAAATTCCGAGATAACAGTTTGATAGCGCAGTCTATTCTGAGTCCTCTAATCCAAAGAAATTGGATCTAGCTTAAAAACTGAGCTCTTGGGAGCGATTGCCGTGGTTCAATGTTTTGCGTCGAAATCGGCCGAACATGACGTCACTCTGACGTCATTTCCGGCCGACCTATAGTAGTTACGAAGTTCAAATTTTGACACAAGGTGTCAAATTGATGCAGCCTAAGGTACTGAAAGTTTGGCGTCGATACGTCAAGCGGTTTGGAAGTTATTGCAGAAAAACGGGAGGGGGGCTATGAATAGCCCCCCCCCCCCCAGTGGGGCGCGAGTTAACGTGTCTGTCGCTAAGAAGCTAATCGTGTTTAGACCAATATTAGCACGTACCGGTCGAAGCGTTGTTGCCATTTCGTTGACCCATGCACCGGCTGTCTGAGCAGGGTACGACAAGTAGTCGTGTTTACATAGGGTTCCCTTAATTTTCCCCTATTTCTCCCCTATTTTCAGATCGAATTTTAGGCATCATAGCGCTCGCGTGTAACGTTGCTATGGACGCTATTGTTGTTAGAGGCATACTAAGCATCGTTTATGCTGTAAACAATATAAATTGGGCTTATTTATTGCTCGAAATTCAACAATTCATATTTTGAAGTAATTTTATCCTGCCCTTCAATTCCCTCTTTAAGCGACAAATAGGGGAGGATTTGGTAGCGTAGCGCCTTTCCAAAAGCTGCTACGCTACCATATCCAGTGGTTCTCAAACTATCACATCACAAAAGCGGCGTGCTGATTGGCCGGCAGTTCCGAATCGTCCGACTGGTGGTCCCCGACTCGACAAGCGCACGTGCGCCGACTGAGGATTTTTAAGTGGCATTAACGCATAAACGGCAGAAAGTCAAGGCGGAAATTCGACAGGTGCGGTGTTCTGATATTGCCGTGGATGTGATTACACCTACTTGAATAATAGCTCAGCCGTTTAAAGTATGTTAAATGCCAGATAGTTTTCTGATTTTTCTTGCTTTGAGCTTTCATGTGCTATCACTTTTACCTCAGTGTCTAGTCTGGAAGCTATTTGGGAGAGCCCTAAAGGTAAGTAACAATTGCAAACTGCTTCTAGAATGACTTAGTTGCGCCATATTTGTAGTGAAGCGAAGTAAAGGAGACAGAGGATTCCTTTATAAGGGACATTTAAGAGACAAATAGGGGAAGATTAAGGGAACCCTATGTAAACACGGTTAGTGATGGGCAGCTCACTGTTTATACAGATTATAGTGAGGTCATCGGAATCCTCGTGCTGCTTTATTATGTATGATATGATTGTTGTTTTAAAGTCATTTTTTTCCCAGGAAATTAGTTATGTATAGTCACTTTTCGGATTATTCTCTGGGATAATAATATATAACTCACAAGTCCATATATTTCGGATGATGTTGCTCACCCTTGGTCACTGGACAAAATAAAAACAATTACATATTTGAAAAACCACACACCAAAATTATTCCCTAGACGGGTTACATTTTTCAAAAATATATCACTTGCCAAAAACTGACACGGTCTTTTAGCTTGCATGTTCCTCTACATAACAAGTAGTGCAACCAATCTTCTATATGGATACCTACTACCTATACTTGTGTCTACAGAGATACATCGGACACAATAGATCAATATGCACAACCGGGTATACATATGTTTAGTTCCTATGGATGACATCTTATGCTCATGTCGACCTATTTCTAAGGGTGAAATCCCATGGAAGGCAAAACTTTGGCATGTGAGAATAACTGGAAAAAGAGAATCGTGCGCGAAGCAATAGAAATAAAAGAAAAAGATCCATACATGAACAGAGATGTAGGAAAATTTGGCCTTAGTCCAATATGGGATTTCACCCTTAGAAATAGGTCGACATGAGCATAAGATGTCATCCATAGGAACTAAACATATGTATACCCGGTTGTGCATATTGATCTATTGTGTCCGATGTATCTCTGTAGACACAAGTATAGGTAGTAGGTATCCATATAGAAGATTGGTTGCACTACTTGTTATGTAGAGGAACATGCAAGCTAAAAGACCGTGTCAGTTTTTTGGCAAGTGATATATTTTTGAAAAATGTAACCCGTCTAGGGAATAATTTTGGTGTGTGGTTTTTCAAATATGTAATTGTTTTTATTTTGTCCAGTGACCAAGGGTGAGCAACATCATCCGAAATATATGGACTTGTGAGTTATATATTATTATCCCAGAGAATAATCCGAAAAGTGACTATACATAAATGATATGATTGGTTGACGAATATTCCAGAAGTTCACGGTAAAAGAAGTCAGTGGATTGTGGAAGGCTGCAAAAATGGGATCTATGCAAATAACTATTGTGTTCAAGCTGTAAGCATTTTTTCTTAACGCTGCCCTAGAAAAGCGCCCGCTAATTGACCAATTTTAAGTTTTGACAACAGTGATCACTCAGTTGTTTATAACTTGCATTTCAAAGTGCAGACCACCCACTAGCGTTTATGCAAGCCCGCCGGCCTCGGTTTTTCTAAATGAAAGCTGCGAATCATTAATTTGTATCTTAGATCCTAGAAGTACGTCAATAATCTAGAGCTTCTGAACAGTCTCTATTGTGCTTGTAGTTAATAGCTCTGCAATATGGCCTAATTAAGTTTATCTTTGATTGTTGCTTATTGACCCAAGGCCTATTTGAAACCATCACATATTCACCTGACGTTTTTAGCCCATTCTGAAATGTCAAGCACATTTATAGTCACCGTGAAGCCCATATGCTTTTGTGACCTCTGCTTTGTTTGTGATCGTCTTCATCTTCATCGCTTTACAGTTGATAAACCACTCTGAAGAAGGCATTCTCGTCTAAAATAATGTCATTATTCCCTACACTTCAGCATGATAACGTTTGCCAAAAATGTCGGAAAGGGAGTGAAACACGGAAACTCAGATGAGCTCCCTTTGGAATTTTCCGTGCATCGCTCACCTATCGTTGTCTGTTGGGCCCAAGATTACTAGAACATAGTTCTAGTAATCTTGTACCTATGTAGTTCCTATGTAGTAATCTTGTACCTTGTATGTAACTATGTACATACATAGTTCTAACCTCTTGTACTTACAAAAGGTTGGGCCTTTTGTAAGTACAAGAACCTGACCGATGGTGTCATTCACAAAAACACAAAGCACGTGCCTTTTCTTAAGTCGATCCCTCTGAACTCTATCCCCGTCGTCGGTAACGAACGGCGAGCGGGGCCTGTCGGCAGCGACGGGAGCCGACGTGAATACCTCTGACCTCTGACGTAAAGCCACCGATCCGCGGAGACGGAGACTGACGGCTCTCTGGCGGCCGGCTGGACGATTTGGGATCTCAGCCCCCCCCCCCCTCCCCGGTCACATGATGGGGCGGATGATGTAAGGACATTGCTAAATGACGGACGGTGATGTGTTGCTAGCCGGGTCGGCTGAGCCGGCCAGAGTTTGGTGTTGGCTGTAAAATATGTATGTAGATCAGAAGAATCGGTTGATTTCAGGAACGAGGTCAACGTGTGGGCGGTGATTGGTGGGAATAGCTGTACGAGTACTTGATATTTTGTGATTATTTGTATTATTTTATGGTATTTTATTATTATTATTATTATTATTATTATTATTATTATTATTATTATTATTATTATTATTATTATTATTATTATTATTATTATTATTTTTATTGTTAGTATTATTATTATTATTATTATTATTATTATTATTATTATTATTATTATTATTATTATTTTTATTGTTAGTGTTATTCTTATTATTATTATTATTATTATTATTATTATTATTATTATTATTATTATTATTATTATTATTATTATTATTATTATTATTATTATTATTACTATTATTATTACTATATTTATTTTTCATTATTGTTATTGTTATCATTATATTGTTTCTTCTTCTTCTTCTTCTTCTTCTCCTTCTTCTTCTTCTTCTTATCATTTAGCTTCCATGCTTATTTGAACCCACGAGTGAGTGATTCTCAATTCTGATGTTACTTTTTGCTCACGAGTTATTTGACAGTTTTTTGCACCTAATGCGGCAAGACCTATTTCGACTAAGTTCTTCGAATTTACTAAAGTGGAGAGGAAGCAGTTCTTTGTCATATTTAACAGAGAGCCATGGACGTGACGATATTCGCTACAAGCCTTTTTGGTAAAGTCCTTGTGTCATTTTTTGTCAAATAATTAATGACCTTCAATATCTTGCCACGTTTAGGAAGCTGACAGGCGACCATCTCTCAATGTATGCCCCATGCCACTATGGGATTTCACCTCACTGAGGGTTCGGCCATGAGTAGTAGGGGCCTATTGCTACTGATATTGAAAGAATTGACCAGATACTTGTTTACGTTACGGCATCTCCTCCTTGTTTTGTTGATGAATAAAATCGTTGAGATGTTGTCGAAAGATATTCATAAGTTCACTGTTAAGGTGAATGTGTCGCACCCTCGTCAAAATCGGCTCCGACTGTGGGGGCCACTGCACACTGTACAGCCGCCACGCTCCGTACATCAGGAGTGCAGCGATTCGTTCGGTATTGAGTTGGCGTGGTGGTTGTCGTGGGTAGTTTTGAGTGCCGCAGACCGCCCAGAACTGACGCCAGGCTGGCGGTGAGCCATGGGGTGCATCAAACGTCTGTCACTCATCGGGCGTGTGTTCATTCAGTGGCCCGTCCTGTGGACTCGATGTGAGATTTATAGCCCGCGTTGCTGTTAGTGCTGTGCTTATAAATTTTGTCCGTGGTGGTGGTGACTTCTGTTTTATCAGAAACCCGTGAAGCTGGTGGCCTAGATCTGACTTCTTTTTACACATGATTCACCGTCGTCCTTATCCGTCCCCTTCAATGAAGAAAAGGCCGTCGCACATTTACTCCCGTTGTATATTCGAGACCATTTCCTGATCATTTATACAATACAGCCCCGTGGCCAGCTCGCCACTCTCCGGGGCAAAACGCGCCACTTACAAAACGACTTCAAACATCAACGGGGCCCGCATCCAAAGCCGCGTCTGGACACCGCCCAAACGCGGACATTTTCACTGGCACCCAGCACACACTCACCCGCGCGCACACACGCATACAAACACCCACCGACGGTCCGCCGCAGCGGCCACGAGGTTCACGGCCACGTGCCACGTACGCTCGGCGGTTCACGTGGCGCACGTGCCATTTTCGGCGCACGAGTGACCAGCGCCCCGCGCGATGACATTCAATTGACGGCGATTTATTGCTCGCTTCTTATTGCATGGTCAGGACAGTCCAATTCTAAAAGTGGTCTGGCTCGTGAGTCTGCTCACAGGCGATGACATCAAAGCGCCTCGGGGCGCTGGGGTCACGACACGGACCAACAGCCAATGATCGTCGTCTGCGCGGCAGCAGCCGGTTCGCCGTCGGACCAGCACGGTACAACAGCGCGCGCCTCGTCCCGGGAACAGCGGTGACGCCCCGGGACTGATACCGAGGCCCCCTTACGGCTCACAGAGGTGCCGAGACAATAGAGCCCGAAGGGCCGACATCGACACCGCATAGTTAGTTCGCTGCATCCGTCAGGGAAGGCATTCGTATTGCCGGAGTGGTCGCAGTCGCACAACCTTCTATGTCGCCTGGAAATGCGTAAAAAAATCTGCCCTAGACGTCTACTGCGCACCTGTACTGTAGTTGTTCCGCTCGTGATAAAATAGACATTTCTGCTTTGTTATTTACAGATAACGTCATTCGGCAAGGGCTATAGCTAAAACAATGCGCGCCGGGTGTTGGCTAGTGGCGCGGCTAGGGCGCCTCTAATTTTGATGGTCGAAACTAGGCAAAATCACAGAGGAGGGAGCGCGTTGCTGGGAGCTGGCGGCCGCCGAAGGCTGGCGGACCGCTCCGTACCGGCCGCCGCACGAGTATTGAGCTCTGCACTCGAGGTGACACATCAGTCGCCTGACGATTACGTCATCATCATCAACTTCATCATCATCAACATCATAGACCACCACATCAGACCACCGCCGGCCGCCGGTGACGTCTTCTCCGGGCTGGCGAGCGGCGCCCGGCTTAGCCTATTGTACACCAGACACGTAGATACACTGCCCCGGCTGCCACCCCAGTGACGTCACAGCGGCGGCAAATGACGTCACTGGGGGGCCGGCCGGGCTCTATGTACAGCGGAGCGGACTCGGCCCTTCTCAGTGCGCTTTGTCGGGGATGAGGGTTCGGCGCGGCCGCACAAAGTGACGGTGAGTGGGCGACGGTCAGAGAGGCGAGACGAGAAAACACAAAGCTAGCTACTTTGTGAAAGACTCAAAATACTTCACAGATGCTGGCCGGCCGGTAGGCGAGCGCAAGCCATCACAAATTAAGTACATTGTTAAGTTAAAAAGACCAAGGTGTAGCAATCTACGGCGAGCGAAGAACAGTCCACAAAACACAATCCTCATATGAAACAGCCTGATTGGTTGTCCTGATTTCCGGTCTTGCATCGCTCCGTCTAAATAATTTACTGCAAAGCCACACTCAGTCAGTCACACGCGAGTGATACTGCATCGTCACAAGCTGGCGGCGACGGGGCTCCGCCGGGCCGGCCCGGCCGGCGGGCCCATACTACCGCTGCTCCGACCATCCATATATGTACAACAGGGGGGATGATCACTCCAAGGACAACAACAGGGGCAGGTCGGCCGGGGCGGGAGGCAGGTGGGGGACCACGGTCCTGGCAGGTCACCAGAGGTCAAAAGGTCACGGCGAGGAGGTCAGCCATCCTCGTCATGGGGCTGCCTCCAGACGCCGTCCGTTTCTTCTCTTCACTTCATTTCTTTCGCTCGCTCACGCTCGCTCGTTTCTAGCTAGCGATGACTCTGAAACAGATGAGCGCGCTATGTCAGAGTGACGGCCGAGTCAGCTCGGCTGCGGCGGCGACCCTGGCCGGGACGAAAATGGCGCAGATAGAGCTCTCAAACGGCACAGTGATCTGCATATCGTCAGACGCAACACTTTGTCAAAAACCAAAAACCGAATTGATGTATAAATGAAACAGCAAACTATCTAGCATTAATGACAGGCAAAGTGGAGATATATATTCGACCCACATTTACAGGCAACGTCCCCGTATTACGTTCATCTACTCCGCATATTTTATTAGCAAATTTTCGTTTTTAGTGGCAGCCCACGTGCGTCATTTTCGCCGCTGCCAGTGTGCCGTTTTCGCGGCAGTCACCTGACAGCCAGCCGGCGGCGACAGCTGGCTCGCAGCACATCGTGAAAATAACCCCCGTAATGGGATGGTGCTGATAATTCGTGTCTTGTCGTGAACTATGTGACAGATGCGCCAGTTTGGGATAACGGCGAGCGTGCCGCGGGCGCCCGACGAGTTATGGTTGGCTGGAGAGGTTCAGAGAGGCCAGGAGGTGAGTCTTATACGAGGTTAGAAGGCAAGAGCCGGGTAAGAGATTAGGAATGTCAGGAGTCAGGCCAGATACGATTGAGTAGAGACTGAAGAGGCTTAGGAGCCGTGTCATATAGACGGGTTGAAAGCGAGGACCGAGTCGAAGGTATGGGGATGGGCAGGTTAGAAATCAGGTCAGATATCAGCGATGGAGGAACTAGATTAGATATGGAAACTGAAGAGCACTCTAGTTGAGGGCCAGGAGAAGGTATTTCGGTATGCACCTCTAGCGGTCACTTTAATTTGTTACGCTCTAACGGTCAGTGTGCCTGCACTCACCGGTAGGACTCTACGGTGCGTCTAGTGGTAGCCGTTGAAGGCAGCCAGCAGCGGTGCACGGTTCATGGCGCCGAACGAGGGCTGTGGGGAGGCCGCCTGTAGGTAGCTGATGCCGCCGTCGCCGCTGTACAGGTCCAGCGGGCCGGGGCTGCTGGCCGCCCCGAACCCGCGGCTGTTGGCCGGGCTGGCCGGCGGACCGTATCCCGGGTAACTGTTGATCACTGTCGGAGAAAGCAGGCGTCTGGTCAGAGAGGTCGGGCGATGGGAACGCTACTGTTTTCATTGGTCTGTGCAATATGCACTTATGATGGAACGCAGGCTTATATGTGCCGTGCGTTACGTTGTACCCATGTTTTATAACTGGAATAAGCCTGGCAATGTGAACTGATTATCGGAATGCAGCAGTGCTTCGTCAAATAACGAACGCTAGCTCACTGTGTGCGTTGCGGCACAGCATAACTCCAGGCGCTTACCCCTGCTGCCATCTAGCGGTTGGAACGCAGACTACAGGCATTGCGGAACAGTATACCGCTAGGCGCTGACTTTGAGTACCATCTAGCGGTGATAGTTTGAACTAACGTGCGGCACGGCAAGGTCGCCGGCAGTTCTTCAATCTGGGTCACATTTGGGGCGTTATTTCTGCGTCAACCTATGCCAGTGAGTGAAAAGCATTCCTCCCTAATCTCGGAGCCTCATTACCTGCCTTCGAACAACTGCGACGTCTTATGCGCATTGTTGGTGTCGTTTATAATTATCCATGTTGACTGTGGTACCATTTCCCGTGCAGCCGGAGCACGACAAAGGCCCGACAGCAGTAAATTACCTCGCTAAATTAGGCACAATAAATAGTTATCGCAGATTTAATTAACATGTTTTGTTGGTGCCAGCAGGTCGTAAATCTGAACAAACCCAGCTGCTGCCTTCATTATGACATGGTAGGTATAGCATGGTGTAAGTCCTGCTGGTGTTGTGTATTTAGACATGCATGATCAATGAAGCACGGCACATCCCTAAACATGAACTGGCACTGTTATTTCGCAACGAGCAGCAGAAATCCCCGTATGCCAAAAATACGTCAGATATTTCCTGAGGCCATCCCGAGGCCATCGCGACGAGCCAAATATTTTGCTGTTGCCAGTTTGTCAGAGATGACAGGCTGTCATGCCAAGGACTGAAGACTTTCCCGTCGAGTGATCGAGGATTGGGTCCTCTAAGGGTTGGTGATGCTGAGGAACGCAGCTGAGAACTCCCCTAATTTAGACCTCAGCCGGCATGGATCCAGCCGAACAACGGCTGACCCCCATGTGGGCAACCTCTCAACGTATAGTTCGGCGCTCATTCCCTAGATGGCCATAGCGTCGGCCACTTCTGACTGCCGGCGCACCGCAGGCCAATTCGGCGCGCTCTAGGGCGATCTTCTTTCACAACAGGCGGCAAATCCCGGGGCGCGAATCGATAGTGGCCGTTATCGTCGATGGCTCCACGGCTGGCTCGGCGCCGGTCGCCACTAATCAGAGTCACTCCTTCCCTTGGCCCGGGCCGCGCCGAGAGAGGAGGGCTCGTCGGCCCGTCTCCCTCCGGCTCCCGGACCGGCCCGAGCGGCCACCGCTCCCCAGAGACCGATAATGAAATCCCAGGCAATCGGCGCCACAACGACACCCACTGGCTTTCATCGGCGCCGTCTGGGGAGGGGACGGGGGTGGAGGGGAGGGACAGCACCCTTGCGGTCGCCGATTGGGCGCGGTAGAAAAATGGTCGCGGTCGGTTGCGGTCGACGACCGTTACCGCGAGGCGAACCGGACATGTGTCTGGTCTGCAGACACATCGACTCTGCGCCCCGGAGGTCGGGGGAGGGGGTTCTGCAGAGAAGAGGTAATAGACCGTGGAGACACGTTTTTCAGAGCCAGTTCGGTGCAGACGTTCGCCTTTCCGCCGACATTCCAGACTTTTCGCTACTGTCAGGCAACGGCAGCGGAAATTAACCCGCGCCCTGCTGGGGGGGGGGGTGTTTGAACACCCCCCCTTGTGGTTTTTCGCGAATATCTCAAAAACGGCGGCGCGGAGCGCCGCCGTTTTCGGTACACCTTATCATACATCAATTCTACACATGTTGTGAAAATTTCAGACCAAGGTCATCCAAGGTCAGGTCACCAGGTCACTTGAAGTGACCTCACCTCATAAAAAGTTTCAATGTCTGTCATAGCTACACCGAGTGACCGATCGCTTTGAAACTTTCAGCGATTGCTAAGAGCAATAGCATGTACAAAATGTATATCTCAGAATTTTGATATCGATGACCTAAGGTCAGGTCAATTTTGCGACCTCCCCATTATAAGTCAATGGGAGAAAATTGAAATGCGTCTCTTTTGGACGAAAGACATTATAAACACTCCCAAACACTGAATTACAAGTGGTTTAGACACTCTGAACATGAAAATGGTGTCCGTGACCCCTGTTTATGCCCTGAGGTCATCTTAGGTCATGAATGGTATCTAACAGTTTTTCGCAAATAACTTTTGATAGAGGCATGCTAGAGCGATGAAAACGCCTTAGATGTGTTCAGCTCGACGATACGGATCGACTGATATGCAACATGACCCTTTCCGGTCAGGTCATGACCTTGACCTGAGGTCAAATTTTCAAGTTGACCTTTCAAGGTCAAGTTATAGTTCATTCGATGCGTCTTGACGAGAGGAACACGATGCCGGTAAAAGTAAGCTCGTACAAGGCTTGGGTCAAAAGTTATTGCAGAAAAACTGTTTCCGAAAAAATCGGCTATTTTTGCAGTTTTTGCCCCCTGCAGGCAAAACCGTTGACGTTAGGTCAAATCTGAGAGAATTACTCAGAAAGGGCGTTAATAGGGCTATCGAATGCGCTTTTCCGCTGCGCTCTAGCTCTATTGGTTCCCGAGTTATGCGTTGGCTTCTTGGAAATTTTCGACATTCGACCTGGAAATCGGCGAAATTTTGCCTTCAATGACCTCTGGTGACCTGACCTTTGACCTGACCAAAAAATTGACCGAAGTGATTTCCTCATTATTTTTGACGCTCTTTCGAACGCCGCCTTCCGCGTATCGCTACGTGGCCCAGGAGCCGAGTTAGAAGGGGGGGGTGTTCAAACACGGGGTTCAAACACGCGGGTCAGTACTTCATGGTGGCGGTGGATCCGTTCTCGGGGTGGCAGTTCTCACGGCACCTGGGAAGAACGATGAAATCAGCTCGGGTGATCGCAGAGCTAAAAAGTATATTCTGCACGGTGGGAGCACCCGAGACAATCTTCAGTGACGGTGGCCCACAGTATACGTCTAGGGCCTTCAAGCAGTTCATGGAGCAGTGGAAAGTGGAGCACGTCATCTCATCGCCGCATTACCCTCAGTCAAATGGACGAGCAGAAGCTGGGGTCAAGGCCGCAAGCAAGCTGATTCGCAGGTGTTGGAAGTCGCCTGGTGGATTGGACATCGACGCGTGGACCCGCGGCGTACTGCAGCAGAGAAACACACCGGGACCGGGCGGCAGGAGTCCGGCTCAGATAGTGTTCGGCCGACCAGTCCGAGACACTCTGCCGGCTCACCGACGTGTCTTCGATCCTCGCTGGCAAAGATCGGCTGATGAAGCTGACACAGCTGCCGCCGATCTGAAGGACGACTCAGAGCGGCGCTACAATCAGCACGCCAGAAATCTGCCTGTCCTGCGCGTCGGCAGCCAGGTGATGGTGCAGAACCACGTCAACAAACGCTGGGACCGCTCCGGAGTGATTACTGAAGTTGACGGCAGGAGGCGGAGGTACTTCATCCGGCTCCCCAGCGGACGTGTCCTCACCAGGAACCGCAGGTTCCTTCGCCAGCGATACGCTTACTCGGAACCGCACGCAGTCAGCTCCCCGGCGGTGGAAGAGGAGCAGACGAGACTGAAACCTGCACAGGCTGCGCAGCAGCTACGACGGCAGCAGCAGCAGCAGCAGCAGCAGACGAGTCTGAAACCTGCACAGACTGAGCGGCGGCAACAGCAGCAGCAGCAGCCACTGAGGCGATCGACGAGAATAAAGAAACAGACGCGCAGACTCATCGAGGAAATGTGAAATATTCCCCGACTCTGTCGTTAGTTTGCGAATATTTCATGACTGTGTAAGGTGAATGTTCTCAGCAACTTGAGTTATTACCCAGGGAGTGAGGTGTTTGGTTCTATCATTGCGGTGTTCTGGTGTTAGGCACTTTCTGTGCCGCTTTGAACTGTCCATTGAGTTCCGTCTATTTTGGACTAATCGTCTTTTATTTTCTGTATTTATTTTTTCGTTGTTCACCGCTCTGGTGATTTGATTGTCTCAATGTTTATTCATATATTTAGATTGAAACTGGTGTGGGGGTGTGAGAGTGTTAACTAATAGCTCTGCGTGTGTCCGCTAGGTGGCAGGCCGGTAGCGAGCATCTGACCGGTCACTGCGCCAATAAACAGTACGCGGCTAGACACGAGCGAGTGCGTTTGTGCAGACGGAGCGCGGACGAGTACGAGAGACGGAGCGAACTCACACAGTGATTTCCTCATTATTTTTGACGCTCTTTCGAACGCCGCCTTCCGCGTATCGCTACGTGGCCCAGGAGCCGAGTTAGAAGGGGGGGGGGTGTTCAAACACCCCCCCCAGCAGGGCGTGGAAATCCAGGACCCCCAGCAGGGCGCGGGTTAAACGGTATTTACATTGGTGCAGATAAAAAGGGGTGAAATGTTAATAGTCTGCTGAAGTATCTATGTAACTGCTTGCAATAATTCTCAGAAAGGGCAATGAGTTCAATTATCACTTTCGTTTTCACATTACTTTGAAATCCAGTTGTAAATGTCCATCTTGATCCAACCATTAAGTGTCCCTAAATATTTCTATGGAAGCTGTATCCCATCGGTGTGCTACTTATTTCCGAGAACTTCAGCTAGTCCCTTCTCTTGATCTCCATTAAGCCCTTGTTACACTGCCGAATTTTGGTACACGAATGTGCACGAATATGCCAGTCATCCTATGTCGCGGACCGATTCGGGATCTTTCTTCCACGGTCTTGGCATTTCGCAGACCAGTCGTTGCCCACCGCGCGACTTTTACGGTTCGTCACGACCGCCACGAATATTTCATGAAAAATGAAAATTTCGTGGCCGTTCGCCGAACTTATAATAAACGAACATGATCGCCAAACAGTCGCCGAGTCGCCGCCGACATGTCGCTGCGTGCGCCGACTTGT